ATATTTTTTTATTGAATCTATACCAATGTAAAATTTTTTGCTCTATATGTAGTGGCTGATATAGGCTATTTTATCTATAATGTTGCATAAATAAATTATTTTTCTCAGTAGGAACTAAAATATTTTTGTCAATAGAAGTATTTTGCATTAACAACAAATATAACTTCATGAACTACCACTACATATTATCACTACACATGCTGATTATTTTTCATGTTGAACTGTCAGGTTAATTTTTAACCTATTACATATTAAAATAGTTAAACCATGGCAAGATCTACGGAAGACCTTGCATGGCAACATGGGGTCAGACTTGATCCCAACAATAAAGACAAAATTATTTGTAATTACTGTCAAAGAATGATAAGTAGTGGGGTACATAGGTTCAAGCAGATGTTTCTGCGTGCAACAGTATCCCTAGTAATGTAAGAAAGCAGATGACGGTATTTCTCAAGGCTACCAAAGGTAAAAAAATTGCAAAGCAGATGATGAATGATGAGATAGCTAGTTTATATATGTCATCAAGCGGGAATGATCCATAAGAGCAATATAATAATGACTTGGAGATGGCCACAAGAATGAGTTTATAAGAAACATACCAGAGGGAACGCGAGTTTAGAATGCTTGGTGGTTATGACATGGGCATGCATGGTGGGCTCAACTCAAACATACATGGCGGGCTTAGCTCGAGCATGTATGGCAAGCCCAGCTCAAATATGTATGGCAATATGTATCAAAAGGAATCAGACGTTGAAGAAATTGTTTCTAGCTTATCAAGGAGTGTCAGTATTGCAGGTTATGGTTGTATAGACTCATTTCTCTCAAACCCTAAGTCACAACAGATGACCCTCAAAGGCATGGTGAAAGGTACGAGAAACATGTTGGGCAGATATGTTGGTAAATGGTTCTACGATAAAGGGATCCCCTTTGATGCAACCAATAGCCCATGTTTTCCACCTATGGTCAACGCAATCCAGAGAGCCGGGCCCTGGGTAAAACCCCTGATGGCATATGAGCTCAATGGACTAATATTGGATGAAGAAGGTGGAAGAAGTTAAAAAGTGGATTGAAGAATATAAACAGAGTTGGCCAAGAACAAGCATTACTCTTATGAGTGATGGTTGGTTGAATAAAATTAGCAAAAAGGAGTTTTAAAACTTCTTGGCCTATTCCCCAAACAGTACAGCTTTTTTGTCTATCAAAGACGTATCAAGGATAAATAAGGATGCAAACTTCTTGGTACGACTATATGATCAGATAGGTGGGAGATAAGCATGTAGTCCAGTTTATTATGGACAATGCGTAGGCATGTGTTTCTGCGGGCAGCAAGTTGATGGATAAGAGGAAGTATCTAGTATGGACCCCGTGTGCTGCACACAACATCAATCTTATGTTAGAGGAGATCGGTGAGATCAAAATTATGAATGACACTTTACAGGAAGCGAGGTTGGTGTCAAGATTTATATATAACCATTCTAAAATTTTATTTTAGTTCAGATAACAGTCTAAGAAAAAAGAGATAATCAAACTTATTATAACCCGCTTTGTGACAGATTACTTGGTTGTGGACTTCATTCGGGAATCTGAGGTGCATTAAAGAGATTGTTTACCAGTGAAGAGTGGTTAAATGACCGCTTCTCAAAGTCCAGTACTGGGCTAAAAGTGGACGGCATAGTCTCAAATAGGAGGTTCTGGTCTCGATATTCTAGTGTCGTAGAGGTCACTGCCCCTTTGGTCACGGTGTTAAGAATGGTGGATGCTGACAAGAAAGCTACCATGGGCATCCTTTATGAAGGTATTGAGAGGGCCAAATCAGCTATTGGGGAGAAGTATAGTTTTGCTAGTAAAGTGATCGAGATTATAGAAAGAAAGTAGAACACCAAATTTGGAAGTCCAATTCATTATGCAGGTAAATATATAATTATATCATTAGAATGTTTCATTATAAATTATTTTTTTAAGAAATTTTAAATAATATTTCTCTATCTATATTTTTTCTAGGTTACTACTTCAACCCAAAATTTTTCTATTTGACACCTGAACATCCCCACAAGATTATAGAAGGGGTCAGATACATTATTGTCAGGTTGGAGAGAAGTCATCGAAACCATGTAGCAGCAATACAAGAGGTATTATTTAATATTTGGGTAAGAACTTGATTGAGTTGTTATATTTATGAGAAATAATGCACTAAAACGAAATATTTTGTTTTAGCTTGTTATGTATAGGGATGCTATATGATCCTTCGAAACTAGACTTGCCAAGAATTCTCGAACTAAGATGGATCCAGGTTATCCTCTAACTAATATTTTGTTCATTTATATATTTAATCTTATGAATTGTTCTTGCCCTTGCAATGCTTTTTGCATTTTAATCCAGCTAAATGGTGGGAGATATATGGTAGTGATGCACATCACCTAAAGAGGATAGCAATCAAGGTGCTCTCTCAAACATGTTCTGCTACTGGCTGTGAGCGAAACTGGAGTACGCTCCAATGGTCGCACACTACTAGGAGGTATCGACTCACTTCGGAGAAGCTTCATAAACTAGTCTACGTTCATTACAACTTAAATTTCTGAGAGCGACAAATAAGAAGGGCTTGAAGACTATGGGCCGATAAACGTAGACACAATATTTGTCACAAACACATTAAAACAATGGATAGTAGAAGAAGATGAGTCAGTATTGCACAAGAGAGCATTTCTTGAGGCTATCGGTGAGAAAGATTTTGAAGAAGATGATGAGCAACATAAAAGAGGAAGCAGCCCACCAACATATCAACAATTCGTCGGAGATGTCGGTGATATTGCACCAAATGAGGAAGAGTGGGAAGGGAGTCTAAGGGAAAATGAGAGAGATGATTATGAGGCCACCCAATCCCAGCCAAATTATTCACATATCGAGTCCCAACAACAAGAGGGCAGGGATGATCACGACAGTGTAGGTGAACATGAAGGATGGACAAGCTTTAGGGATTTTGGATTAAGACCACAACAAAACACTAACACTCAGGGATTTTGGTATAGTTAGGTGCCCACTAATTTGGATGATTCATTTTTAGAACGGGTCAATGAATTGTCACGCG